ACGCAAGCTTCAGACGAAGAAGTGAATGATGTGTGCTCCCGGCGCCTATTTATACTATAGTCGCACCGGTAGTGACGTCATGGCTGTCGCCGGCCAACGAGTTGGTGTTTTTTCAATGTATGCTTCAGACGCGGGTCACGACGAGGCGTTCCCCATAGCGACCCCTAGAGGACGCAGTGTCTCAGTTCCCTACTCAGGGAACCATGGTTACATAAGTAACCTGAGACGTTCTTTTGAACTTTCTATTCATTAAAGAATCCTGAATGGATTGTGTTTCCACAACAATATTACACAGCGCAACTTTTTTTTAACATTGATAATAATAATAATTGTTTTTCTTGAGCACCAAATCACTGAAGACTAGAGTAATGACTGCTAAAAATACAGCTTTGCATCACAGTAATAAATTACATAAAAAAATTTAAATAGAAAACAGTCATTTTAAATTGTAATAATTTTGTACAATATTATTGTTTTTTACTGTAATTTTGATCAAATAAATGCAGCCCTGGTGTAAAAAAAAAAGTTTTATTAACCCCAAACTTTTTACATCTAAAAAAAAAAAAAATGTAAAGAGCTGTTACCTTATTTAGAGTCTGGGACCATATTGAAATTCCTCATCTTTACTAACTTTGCTTAGAATAATCCAGATTTATTGACATTTAAACGATAATAAGAGCAACTTTTTGTTGCAGACTTTTTCCGTTTGCGCCATTATTAGTGAATGAGAGCCGGTGTTTGTGGCTCAGCTGATTTTTATTGTAAATGAGCACATGCCAGAGTTGTCGAGGGAATAAACAAGGTCGCAGTATGTACAGTAAGCACATCTCTGAATGGTTAGTAAACAGACCTCAGGAACTCCTCAGTACCGTTCAAGACTGAGTAACGGGTTCCGTCCACTGGTTGTCATGGGAACGGTGCTCAGTGACTGAGCAGACTGTAAGCAGGAAATCTCTCAGATGAAGACGTGCTGACAGAAAGGCGGATTTGAGGGGTTTTCAAAGAGAAGTGGATGATTAATCCATCAGAAATGTTGATTTTCAATTTGCCCTATTTAGCAGATGAGCCCAAATTATGTTTGTAAGACATTTGTTTTATATCAGTTTTACTTTTACTTTTAGTCATTTAGCAGACGCTTTTATCCAAAGCGACTTACAAATAAGAAAAAGTAATTAAAACTAAAAGCTAAAACTCTATAAATAATATATATATACACATTTAAGAAAATAAAATTATAGACATAATAAAAAACTAATAAAATGACATTACTACAACTGTAACTAAAACTAAAATAGATAACTAATACAAATCAAACTAGGTTAGTTTATCAGTAATCCTAAAAAATAACACTGAGCCAAACACACATGCTAAAATAACAACAACTTACTGACACATAGTAAGAAATGGTTATAAAAAAACTGAAACAAGTAGTAGGAAAGAGGAGAAATAAAAAGCGATACTTATCCTTTGCCGGTGTCCCTGCCCGGTGGAGTTGCACGGTAGAGTCGATGGTCTTTACACTTTAAATCAATGGCTTCTTTTTTTAGATTCTAAAAACCCGAGGCTCAGCCTGATAGATTCAGATGTTGTTGATACATAAAACACATGTGTATTCAAAATAAACAAATCTCTGTGTTAAATCAAGGATATCAAAATAATTAAAGTTTTTTAGGGGGCGTTTGTTTTTTCTCTCTCTTTTTTTTCTATTTTGCAAGTTTAGCAAAGACAACTCTTTGCAATAGCAAAAGTTTTATTGACTGACTTTTATAAGGACCAGATAGCTGTGGGAGGTTCTCTATTTTTTTATATTTCTACATCTGTGGTCCAGATTTATTATACGTTATTTATTATACATTATAAGCTGATAACAACAACATCAACAACAATAAAATAATAATATAAAAGTGCTATTAGTTGTTATTAATATATTTATTTTTCTTTTCATGTTAGCCTAACACTATACAGGTCTTTAATAACTATACAGGTAATATAGCTTATTTTTTTTATTAATTAATTTATATTATTTTGTTAGCCTGAAACTTCCCACAACTGAAACTAAAATTGTACTATATTTTTACTATTATATCCATGATTCCAATTTATTTTTTATTATTACCTAATAATATGAAAATTAACTAAATATAATATGAATTTGAAAAAATGTTATTAGTTTTTTTTTTTTTTGTACGTACATGCATGCATATATTTTTATTTTGCTGTTAGCCTGACACTATGTATAAATCATGGGACAAAGGCTATTTTCCGGGTTCCCACGGTCCCAGAAAATGTCGGAAGGCATGGAAGAATCATGGCAAAAAAAATAAATAAAAAAAATAATAGTCATGGAAATTTCTGTAGCCAATATAAATTCTACTTCCAGTCAGAAAAGTACTACTTCAGCTAGAAGATACTCTTTTGTGAGTGCGATCTTGATTTTTTATTTATTTAAATCCCTTTCTAGTCATCTCAAACAACTGGAAAAGTCATGGGAAATCATTAGTTAGAAAGTGTGGGATTGCTGTATTTGAGGTTCGTCTGGGTGCATTTGCAGTCTGAGGAAATCAGAAATCAGTCTGTTCGAAATGCTCCTCAAAATCTGGTAAATGTCACAACTCTTTAGTTGTGTCAATCTTTTACTTCTTTTGTGCCTTTTAAACTCCAAAACAGAGTTTGTAAACTGATATTATAGCCAAATCTCTGTGCTTTTTGATCATTACAACACATGTGACAACGTCAAATTTAGCTTGTGACCTGTCAGATCAGTTTAAGAAGGGCACACAAACAAACCTTCACAGACTGTCACACAAAGTCTCACACTCTCCAGACCACCTGACGACTCTCCATCCCAGACATCATTAACAGGCGTTTGAAGGAAACACACAATGACATCATGCCGTGTGATCGCTATAAGGACTGAGAACTGAGAACACAGTATTGAATGTCTGCAAAAAAACACAACTTGATCGAGTGCTCTTAGATCACACACTCCTGTTCATGTGTTACATGAGAACACACTCTTCATTCTGAAAAGAAATGTCAGTAGAGTAATGGAGGTGACCAAGATAATATGTTGCAGGGATCATATTAAAAGTCACCCTTTGGAACTTGTGTGAGAGTTCTATTGCAGCTATAGTATAGTCTATACAGTAGTTGATAAGATATGAATCGGAACTAAGGGAACTGCTCTTGGATCAGTTTGAAAGCTTTTTCTTCTCACAAAACCAAGCCATTTTCTCCAGAATCCTAACTCAACAAAACCAGAAGCATCTTTTTTTTTCAGTGGAGTTACATGAGAAACCGCAGTCATGCGTTGAAGCAGACTCACCATCAGGTTTGAGATCACACAGCCTGTTCTTAACATCTTCCTGGCAGGTTTTCATTCTGTTAGTGGGTTAAATGTAGGTTTGGGGCTGATTTGAGGTCAGCAACAGAAATCTTTGTAGCGTAATAAAGGGATTGTTGAAAAGAGGTAATCAAATTAAGGCGCCATTATGCATTGAGATTTGTGAGTTCTTGCAAAAAATTAATAATAATAATTGCGAAAAGCCATTTTTATTCACTAATGCAAAATGTCCCTGCTCAGCCAGCACATCTTTGTCAAAGCAACTACAGATTTCTTGTTAAACATATTATTTCATAAAAATATTAATTTTTTTTACATACAAAAAGTTATTTTTATGTTTAAGTTTGTTTTTAATTTACATATTTGATCAATAAAAATGTATCAATAAAAAAAGCTCCAAACAACAAGAAAGCCATTAAACAGAGACCGTATAATTTATGCATGATTTATTCATGCTGCCATGCATATTGGGAGCCTGCGAACATTGCAAAATTGTTGAATATGTAATCAATTGTTTTGGACACCTCTGTTAGGGGGAATAGTGTTGGTCTAGCACATCTTTTTTGTAAAATCAAAGTAATATACACAGAATCCATTACTCAAAAAGGCCAATATACTGGATAAAATGTAACAGTTATTTTTTGTAATAGGTCTGTTTTGTGTTTAACTCTTTCAGTGTTCAGAGGAGAAGAAAGAAACGGAGGAGAACAGCGATGCCAGCAAATCTGAGATCAGCCTGGTCTACGAGATCGCCCTTAAGAGGAACCTGCCTGTTAACTTTGAGGTAAACTTAGCTACTTTAATTGAGAATATAAAGGTATGTAACACTAATAAGGCTAGTTCAACAATAATTTTCATTGCACAGTTATTTCCAGTTCTAGTGACCCTATCCAGCTTATTAAACATTTTCTTTGTACTCCAAAACAGTTGTATGCTTTTGAAATTTTAACCCTTTTTCTCAGCTAGACAATAAAACTCTAAAGTGTCATATCGAGCCAAATCGAGCTGCCTACATAAGTAGCTGGCTTTTAAGAAAGCATCCTTATTGCATATGCAGGACCTTCAAATGTATAGCGTTCCCGATTTGAAGCACACAGGAGTTTAGGCTTTTAATGAATTCTAATAGATTTTGATGTTAGCATTTTGCTAAGCTAGCTGCTATACTCTAAGCAATATACTGCACACACAATTAATAGTTGAATAGAAAGTTGTATCCATTCAGTTTGATAACAAATAAAATATTTCTTTCGGTTCGTCCGCCGTCTTGGATTAATTTTTTCCCTCTGAACCTGTCTCAGTGCATTCTGGGATTGCCTTTTAGTGTATTATGTATGTGTTGCTGCCTTAGACATCCCCAAAAAAATGATGAAACTTTTGGTGCAGGTTTTGTGTTCCGAGCATGCCTATGATGCCTTAAATATATTGTCTAGATAGATGTTTCAATGGGTTTTGGAACAGAGCAAGTGTTTCTCTTTAACTGTAAAGAGCCCCTAAACTTCAAGTGTTCATTCTAATTTAATCAACATCCAACAGAATATATTTAGACATCCGTTCATTCGATAAATTGAAAATTACTAGCTTCAAATAAAGAGGATAAAGTGGGCAAGTGATTATATTAAACGCTTGTTCTTGGTGAAGCTCTGTCAGCATCCGTTAAATCTGGTAAATGTAATTGCTTTAAAACTTAAAAGTGTTTATTGTGGGAAGGAGGGTGATTTGGACACCATTCAAAATCAGCACTTCATTAAAGAGCTGCATCAGAGATGCTTCAAATCAACACAAACCTCAACGCTCTATATAAACACCAGAGGAAGTCTGAGGGTCTCTGTAGCCTGACTACTACTGCATCCATGTTTATCTTACATGATTTTCCACGGCTGTCTCCAACTTCACAATCTGCAATCATCTACTTGGCTTTGGTCAACCAGAATCTTCCTGACATGCGTTCTCCATTTGCATGCAATCTGTTACGTCTGGGGACCCCGATCTAACTGCATTTGGACACACTGTAGCTCTTTTTTTTCTTTCTTTAAAGTTTTGAGTGCAAGTCATCTGTGAGAGGCTGGACTTGGTTCAACCTTGTTAGATCTTTTCAGGAATTTTCTCCCCAGCTATTTGTAGGAATGGAAAACGTTTTTGTTCCTGATTCAATTAGCACACAAACATGGATATTACAGTTACTCTGTGAGAAAGAAACCATGAAACCATTTCTTGGTCAAAGATGTGGGACATATCTAAATGTAATATTTTAAATAACCAAAAAATATATATATATATTTTAAGACGTACTTAAATTTATGACTTATGACCTGTATGACTTACTTTCTGTGGAACACAATAGAAGATGACGGTGAATGTCAGTGAATGTCATTTGGGACCAATGGTGTTTTGGACCCCACTGGCTTTCATTATATGGATGGAAATGGGGGCTGCAAGATTTTGGGGGAAAAAACTGTGCTGTACTGTGAACTGAGCTGCTCTGAGGCACTGAAAACACTGAATCATGAGCTGCTTGTGTGTAAATGAACACATTGCCATGCTTTGCTCTGAAACATGCATCATGATTTCAGTTTTATTTTGAATAATTGTGCTGCCCTTAAAGGAACAGTTGAAACTTTCTTGAAAATATCTTCTTTTTTGTTCCAATGAAGAAACAAAGTCAGGTTTGGAATGACATTAGGGTGAGTAAATGATGACAGAAGCTTTATTTTTGGGTGAACTATCCCTTTAGGTCAACCAGAACAGTATCTCACCTGTTCTCTTATGAAATCAAGGACCACTCTCACCTTCTTGTCAGTGTCAGACGATATCAAACAGATGCCAACTTCAAAGAACAAATACAATAATCACAGTTTCTTGTCGTGGATGATGCCTTACAGAGGTTCAAGAGTGGGAACTCGCGCCAAGAACCACCCATCTTGTACATAAGTACCTTCCCCCAGGGAATACACATCAACAATCCATACAAAAGAGCTTTTCTTCATTATATCAGTTCTTGCCATTGTCCCACCCTGGCCTGGTATCTTGCCTTTTCACCAGGCTGAGGACACGGCGGTCTCACTAATACTATATCTCCCCTCTCATCCATGGGATGAAGAATGATCAACCTCATGTTACAGCGATTCCTTCCTACAACTTGATCTCCGTTGGCAACCATGCGAGACAGAGAGCAGACAGAGGAACTGGCCACCGTCAGACACAAGAATCAAACACTTGCTGAAACCCCATCACTGCCTGAGGATGCCATATCATCTGTTGCAGACAACACAACCTCGTCTGCCGCCATGGAGGGAGTCGAGCACCGGTGCCAAGACCTCCTCACAGTCCTCGTTTAACCGATGAGACTCATTCACCGGCTGGAACTGCCACCCACCTACCTCAGTGTTTTAGCTGCCATGGAAACTGTGTCAGGAGGCCAGCTCGAGAGTTACCAGGCCCGTTTTGACTTGTTGTTGGTGTAGTTGGTAAAGTTACCACAGCTTGTCCTCACCGGCAACCTCTATTAGACTAGCACAAAATAAGAATGATATAAAGGTATAAAGGGATAGTTCACCCAAAAATGTACATTTTGTCATCTTTTACTTACCCTCATGTCATTCCAAATCTGTTTGACTTACTTTCTTCTGCAGGAAGATGATATTTTGAAGAATGTTTCAACTATTTTTGTCCATATAATGAAAGTCAATGGGGTCCAAAATGTTGGACCCCATTGACTTTCACTGTATGGATAAAAAGCTCTGAGATATTTTTAAAAATATCTTCTTTTGTGTTTCACAGAAGAAAGTAAGTCATACAGATTTGGAATGATATGAGGGAATGATGACATAATTTTAATTTTTGTGTGAATTTCTCCTGGAGATTGTGCCCAAGTCAGTAACTGTAATTTGCAACAGATTTGCAACAGATAATAAGAAGTGTTTCCAATTCTTCCATTGTTCAACAAAATAGATTGCATTACATCATCTTGATGCCTTATTTTGGGACTCAGGAAGCGGTAATCTACATTAAAAAGTTCCCTTTTATTTGAGTCTCTAAGAAATTTCTCATCAAAGAGAATCGCAGAGAAGTTGACATCTCATTGGAGTATTGGTCTCTCTTTCTCTGGGAATTTCTCGTCTGACTTCAGAACTGAATTGAGTTAGTTGTATAATCATCAGTGACTCTGAGTACAGTTTTGATGTAACCAAGCTAAATCTCCACTCTCGGCCCATGGAATAGACCGTGTGGGAGTTCCCTCAATGACGGACTCGCAGCTTTAAGTCCTTTTCCTTCCTCCCCACACCTCATCCTCGCAAGAGAGCTGAAAACGACATGCTGATATTTCCAAGAGGGAAGTGTAGCAGAATTTTGTCACTTCATTATAGAGTGAGGCTCACCCAGAGGAATTCTCTCAATTCTTATGTAACATCTAAGTGTGATGATCAAATGCATTCCACATCAAGGCCTAGTAAATATTGGGTTATGCTGCTCTGTCAAGTGTGCGGGAAATACACAGAGCTCTCTTGTGTTTCTCAGTTCCTGGCCATCTTCAGATGAAAGCCCAGATTGTTGAGGATCTGGAGCTTACCGATGAAGATTAATGATGTTTGTCTACGCGTCCAATTATTCATATCAACTGTCATGAGATTTATAGAGAGAGTTCTATCAGAAAAGACATTTCTGTCGTCATTCACTCACCCTCATGTCGTTTGAAACCCGGATGATTTTCTTTCCTCTGTGGAACACTAAAGGTGAATGGGAACTGGGACGGTCAAGATCAAAAAGCACCAGAAAAGTACCGTAAACACAGCCCATATTTATAGTTTTCGAAAGCGATTTTCAAAGTACATTTCTGTGTCACTATTTTGTGCTGACTGTTCATCTTCTATTCTGCTACTTTTTTCTGTCTGTTCAGCTATCATGTGGCTTCAGAAGATTTGGAATATAGTTCATGAGTCATATGGACCACTTTGGTGGTACTTCTGTTTTATTTTTCACCATTTTTTTTTCACCCATTTTCGAGCTCTTCATCCATTGTGTAGAAAAGCTGCAGGAACATTCATAAATACACATTTTAAATACATAAAAAAAGAATACATTTTTAAGGTATTGCATGTTTGAAATGACATGGGCCTCTAGGCTTTATTTATGTAAGCCTTGAAGTTTGCCACTGTATTTGAATCGGACGTGATCATCTTCATTAGTTTTGTATGGGGATATGGCTCCTCTCAGCTGAGCCTGCTTCACTGGACTGTCACATGTTTGAATGAATGCCAGAATTGTCTTGTGTGAAGAGAGGATGTGAGGAGGGAGTCTCTGGAGACGGATAACTTTCAGTTCTGACTGAGCACACAGAGGCCCACCCTCAGCTGTGTGTGTGCGTCTGTGTGAAACTCAATCCCCCCAGTGTTGCTCTTGAAGAGCTCACCTGTTCTGTTGGCCATCTTGATGATGTCACAGGAAGTAAATACAATTACATGTGCATTACATTAAATTTCGGTTTCTCACGACAGTGAGAAATGGATAGTAGTAGCAGAATAGAGGATGACCAGTCCGTGCAAAATACAGACACACAACAATGCAGTTTAAATGAATATAATCACCTCTGATTGGTCAGCCAAAAAAAAAACTAAAATAATTTTTTTTGTGTATATACGACTATAGTATGTATTCATATTTTAATTAATACTTTCAGTTAATTCTAATTTGTGTTTTAGTAATTTTGTTATATTCTTTTATCGTTTTTTTTTTTTTTTTTCATATTTATATTTTGCTTTAATTTATTTTTATTTCAGTTTCAGTAATTTTAGTCCTTCATTTTAGTTTTAGTAGTTGTGTTATATGCTTTCATCATTTTTATTAGTCTTTGTTTTTTTAATATTTCTGTTTAGCTTTAATTTATTTTTATTTCAGTTTTAATAATTTTAGTCAAGGCAACTTTTCTAATTGCAGGTTTGATCATCACAATTAAAAGAACCAAAGACTTAAACTACTTCAGTCTGTGTGCATTGAATTTATTTAATACACGAGTTTCACAATTTGAGTTGAATTACTGAAATAAATGAACTTTTCCATGACATTCTAATTTATTGAGATGCACCTGTATATGATCAATTCTCACTATGAACTAACTATTAACTATGACATTAATATGTGCTTTATAAGTACTAATAAACAACCAATATGCTAGTAATATGCATGCTAATAACAGTGTTTCCCAGCGTTTGCCCGCCACAATATCAACACTGACTGCCACAAATAGATTTTCCAAAATGCTTTGAATTCGTTGAATAAACATGAGCTCTGCACGTTTCAAAAGCCAAAATGTAGCACGGGTGTTTTTATATGAATGCATCTTTGAAGGGAACGGCTTGTCTTCAGAAAAGTTGTGATGTCATTTTCATTTGATCTTTCCTGTAATGCCTGATAAAGAAGCATTTATGAGCGCTGCGCTGCTTTGATTACAGCCGTTACCAGGGAAACCGCTAGTTCTGCCGCTCCAAAAGCACCTCCTGCTGGCAGAGAATGAATTTGCATTTTCAATAAGCTCGTCTGCTGTTTTATATTCACATTATATACATATATTTCCCCCAGGGAAAATGCCACCACACATAGAGTGTAAGTCTGTGGGAAATACTGTAATAAGCAACTAGTTAATAGTGAGAATTGGTCCCTAAACTAAAGTGTTACCAATTAAGATCAGATAACATTATTTTAATATTAAATAAAATGTTTTTTTTTGTCTTGCATAAAGAAAAGCACCTATTCTTATGAACAAACTTAAAGGAACACTCCACTATTTTTGAAAATAGGCTCATTTTCCAACTCCCCTAGAGTTAAACAGTTGAGTTTCACCGTTTTCGAATCCATTCAGCCGATCTCCGGGTCTGGCGGTAGCACTTTTAGCTGTAGCTTAGCATAGATCATTGAATCTGATTAGACCGTTAGCATCTCGCTCAAAAATGACCAAAGAGTTTCTATATTTTTCCTATTTAAAACTTGACTCTTCTGTAGTTACATTGTATACTAAGACCGACGGAAAATGAAAAGTTGCGATTTTCTAGCAACTGGTGCAGCAGTGACCGTATTAAAGGTGGGTTGACTTAGGAGCAGATCCAATAGTAGTGCTGCTTAGGCCCGGCGCCAGAGGTGGGGTTTGGCCCCCCCACGGACATCCCTGTGCCCCCCTTCGGACCGAGGGGGACGGTCGGACTTGAGTTTAGCGTGTATTGTCTTGCTCATACAACTGCCTGCTGTTGCTGCTGATTGCTTTTAGATGGATTTAAAGGGAGCACTCTTTGCATGCTGTATACGATAATATATTCATACATATATTGCTTGACAAGCGGCCACGTATGACACAGAGATAGCAGCTACTACACTATATAGGAAAAGATAATAATTTCAGAAGCACAGATGTGATTCTGCAACAGAGCCTGGTCCAAAGGCAGGATTTAGGTAAGAAAACGGTTATTATTTGTATTGGCTGCCACGCCAAATCATGCACACCTGCTTGCTTTTCTGTTTAATTTAACAGTGTTTTTGTGAACATATATATATATGCTTTAATAACAAATAATTGTAGCCTAACACTTTAAAATAAGGTTTGATTAGTTAATGTTAGTTAATGTATTAAAGTGTATTAACGTGTTAGTTAATTATTGTAAAGTGCTACCTAAATAATGTATTTTGAGCGTTCACTTGAAAAAAATATGAACCCTTCTGAAGCCTTCATATGGACAACCTCCTGTCACAGGCTTTCAGTCACCTAAGAGCAGGCTGCCTTTTCGCAATCTCAGTGAAAATTGGAGGAATGCTGCCAGTTAAATAGGGGTTGTCATATAATTAAGGGAATTAGCCCCAGGTGCCAGATTATCACCTATTACTTGGAGGTATCTGTAAGTGTTCTCTAATTTTGATCAGAGTTATTTTTCAAATATTTAAGTTTTTATACTGTGCTTCAGAATACAATTAATTTATGAAATAAACTTAAAAAACTGCCCTTCTACTCCTGTTAGGAAAACTTCAAATAGGACCAAGCAGTGACCTTGAAATTTAGGAAATTGTTGGTTGTTCTCTAATTTAGATCTCCACTGTACACACACACACACACACACACACACACACACACACACATATTCTAAATCTTCTGGAGCCATACCATAGTTTTTTGTTTTTGTTTTGTTGTGATAAACAGATTGAAATTAATGTCATAATCATTGAAAATCTTTGTAATTTTGAAGTTTGACAGACCCATTCCAAATTTATTCGCTCACTCAGTCAGTCACTCATTCACACACGCTCATTCACTCTTTTGTCATTCTCCTGACAGGGTTACTGACGTGAACATTAACCAGACATCCATCTGTCCCTCTGCTGCTTTATCTGTGTCTCTCATCCTTGTTCTCATTTGCTTTTTAGTTCTCAATTTCTCTCTCAGACAGGACCAGAGTATGGACAGGGCATGAACCCTATTAGCAGACTGGCTCAGATTCAACAGGCCAAAAAGGAGAAGGAGCCCGAATATATGCTGCTTTCAGAGAGAGGAATGCCTCGCAGGAGAGAATTCATCATGCAGGTAAATTTAATAAGAGAGGGAATCAGGAGGTGTAAAGTAAAAGAAAAATGTTAAGGCTGAGAGGGGGAGTGAAGGACAGATGAGTCCTGCACAAACACTGATAACCTCCCACTGTGCAATCTGTCTTAATCAGAAAGACTGTCACCTCCTCCGGCTCTGATTAACACTGACCTTCAGCTCTGTCAAAGTCAGGCAGAGACTCTTTTGACACGTGCACAGCACACACACACTTGCTGTCCGCTCTTGGAAATTTCATCTCATTGCAGAAGTTAATGGATAATTAGTCTTAATTTAGATCATTTAGGTGACCTAATCGTTTATTTTCCTATGTAGGCCCAAGCACATTTCAAAGCTTTAACACACAACTTGCAAAATCCTCTGCCTAGCTCAACATGCATGTGCATTTATGCCCTTGGCCTCTTGCATGAAGGTATGCAAATCCCAGGTTTGCATGAAAGTTGATTATTCGCTTGGATATAAATGTAAAAATAAAAATAAACCCATTTTTTTCTGATTGTTCACTGCATCACACATTTGCTCTTAGCACACATCACATCACATCACTGGCTGGTGTCCACTGGTTTATTACAGGTCATTAAAACAACAATAACTATACTGCTGGCTGCCCAATGAAAAAACTTTACCTCATACAGTAAAAATGAACCCCCTGTAGCCATAAGAGCAGTGCTTAGTCCCTATGAACAAAGACGCAAAAATACCAGCAGAATTGGCTCTAAATCACCTTGGATTTCCACATATGTTTTGAAATGCCTCCAACTTGGATCTGCTTTTGGTCTCTAGTTTTGGATCAAAGATCAGAACTCATGCAACTTAGTTGACTTGCACTTGTTAGTTGAACATTGTTTAGTATAGTAGTTTGAAGGACAGTAAATTTGAGCAGAATAGAGTAGAATCAAATAGAGTATAGTAGTGTAGTATAAAAGTATAGAGTGTCATAGATTAGAGTTAAATAGAACAGTATAGATTGGAATTGAGTAGAGTTATATGGAGTAGTATTAAAAGGGTAGATTTGTATAGAATTGTATGGAATAGAGTAGATAAGATAGGGTAGCATATAGCAGATATAGTAGTATAGACTATTATAGATTAGAGTTAAAAGGGTAAAGTAAATATGGTAGAATAGATTTGTGTAGAGTAGTGGCGAGTTCAGGAAGTAGAATAAACATGGTAGAGAGTAGACAGGATAAAGTTGGGTAGAGTTGTATAAAGTAGGGTAGATGGAAACAGATCGGAGTTAAATAGAATAAAATGGTGCAGAGTAGTACATAGATGAATGGAGTTTTGTAGACTATAGGGTTGGGCCGATAGACGATGCTATCATCCATCGCCGTGGCATCGTGATTCCCCGCGACCCGCAATGCATGCTTTCAATTTCCGCTCAGTTATTTAAAAAAAAATTTTTTCTGAATACTTAATAACATAATGAAGTTGTTCCCGATCACAATATAAATTACATTCAAAACAGTTCAGTGAACACAGTTAAAACAGTAAAGATTTTATTGTGCAAAAACGTAGATGTTTTACGCGAACTAAAAACAGCAACAAAATTTTAAATTATTTAAATTAAATTAGATTAAATAGGCTAGAACATGTGGGTCAGATCATGGGTGTTGGATAATAAATATGTTACAATAAAATAAAAATAGCCTAATAATAATTCAATTTAAAGTTTTAATCCTCTGACGTCTGGTCCTCCTCGCTCAGTAAGGCCTGGGTATACTTCACTTTCCGCGTTCCATTCCGTCTTGCTTACAGCCGCGTCCGCACAGTTTTCAAGGTAAACTCAACCGCGGATGTGCATGGAAGGACGAGCTCGACAAATGTGCAGTATCACCTACTTGACTCACTTTGACTCAGCATTCACCTGGCGCCTGCACTGTTGTACGCGGACCGTGTTCGCAGTCACAAAAATTGGGCTGCACACGGACGAAAATCAACCCCCCCCCCTCCTCCCCCGATGTCATCGTCCATTGCGATGTTTTGCTGTAGACATTATCCGATGCCAATTTGGTAGACATCGCCCAAACTTTGTAGACTAGATAGGATGGATTGAGTAGCGTAGATAGGATAGAGTAGAGTTGTATGGAGTAGACTTGTGTAGAGCTATGCAGAGTAGAGTAGAGCTATATAAAGTAAAGGCTTATAGAATAGGGTAGAATAGAGAAGATGGATTAAATAGAGTTAACAGGAAAGGGTACATTTGTATAGTATAGAGTAGCGTAGAAGTGTATAGAGTAGGGTGGAGGGATGTAGAGTAAGGTTGAAATAATAGAATTAGAATAGAAAGGATGGATTGAGTAGAGTAATACTCTACTTACTCTACTCAATCCATCCTTTAGTAAATCCATTTAGTAAATTTGTACAGTTTAGAGTTGTATAGAGTGGTGAAGAGATGTATAGAGTAGGGTGGAGGTATATAGAGTAAGGTTGAAGTAATAGAGTAGGGTAGAATACATAGGATGGATTGAGTAGAGTAAATAGAGTAAATTTATTCAGTAAATTTGTACACATTTAAGTACCGAGTTAATCCGAGTTAAAAAAAATAGTATTGAATGAAGTAGTACTTAGTTGAATGGTTGTGTAGACTGGATAGGATGGGTTGAGTGTGGTAGACTGGATAGAGTAGATTGGTATAGAATAGTGAGTTGTTTTGAGTGGAGTAATCAGGGTGGATTAGAATAGACTCAGAGTTAAATAAAATAGTCTGGTGTAAAGTAGTACAGAGTTAATGGAGTTTTGTAAACATAGGACAGGATGTATTGGAGTAGAGTCGAAGGGATATTGTAGAGCTGAATAAAGGGAGGGAAACTTTTCAGCAGCAGAAATAGTATACTGAACACTGTAGTAAATAAAAAAATAATCATGTTGAGTCTCATTCTGAATGATCTGTCAGAGGCTTATCCCGCTATCCCCACACACATAAACAAGAATCAAGCAGCATCCAAGTTGGAGAAGTTTCTCTTCTCTGTCTCCCGTCCAATAATCCCTCGCTTTAAAGCACTCCGAGCATCTCTGAGCGTGCGGTAACACAGCCTCTAACTGATTCTCCATGCTCCTTTCACTGTTGCATTAGAGTCTGCTTGTGTGTGTTTCTTTTGTGTTGCCCAGTCGCTTCTGAAATTTCCACATTGTTTGCTCTCTGGTCTGTGGGCATCAATACGTGTCTGTTTTCAGGCCCACACCATCTCTTCCCACCTGCTGCTTTGCTCCTAATAAATATGAAAAGATGGTTGTCTAGGTTTAGAGATGGTTTGACAACAAAATGTATTTATCTCTTAAAACTATTTGACATTATAGTACTACCGATTGGGCGTTGATTGTGCTTTCCAGATTCAGACTTTTCTTTGATTATTTAAGTAGTTTCATAGCCAATATAGACCATTTTCACCTTCAGATGTATTGTTGCTTATTATATTAACAATCCTGTTTTTTTTTTATCTGTAGGAAAGGCAAAAACATTCAATTTAATAAAATTTAGCTGTCATTTAGTCATTGGTACTACTAATTGTCACTCAGTTACAATTTTACATTAATTGGTGGCCATCTAGACAGCTTTAAACATCTACCACTGTATGTGTGTTTGTTGACAGGTGAAAGTAGGTACCGAGGTGACCACAGGAACTGGTCCCAATAAGAAAGTGGCCAAGCGCAATGCAGCTGAGGCCATGCTGCTTCAACTGGGCTACAAGGCATCTACACCATTACAGAACACTCTGGAAAAGGTCAGTTTCAATCAAGCTGCTTTGAAACTTTTAAACTACAACTGCTAGTAACTATTAAGCTTAGGTTGCATATTAAGTGTCTTAGTCAGTGTTCATAATTTTAGAACACATTTTACACAATTCAAATAATAAAACAAAAATGTAAATAAACAGTATAATATAATTATATAAGTAAATAAATTCTATAGTAAATATATAGTGAAATAAAAATAAAATATATGTCATTTAATTAAACATTTATACTTTATATATTTTACTACTAAAAAGTGATTATTTGAATTATTGTGATGACAATTATGACAGCAATAATTATTTTTAATTAATTTTTTTAACTGGATATTTGAAACAGACCACCAAAAAGGGAAAAAAATAAACTTTTTGCTAAAATGTTTCAGACTTTCTTTTTTATTGTCATAAAAAATATTTTTTTTTTTTACATTTTGGTAACATTCCTATTAGATGTCTCTCATTTAGCAAACTAATTGTTGTAGTAAAGTAAATAAATTAAATAAGAAACATCCATTTAGATTTTTAATCATTTATGCCACTACAAAAAAGTGCATTTTATTAGGATGACAATGATGACAAAAATTAATTTGTTGTTTTTGACCTGGTTATTTTAGATTTAGGGAATTTTAGGAGGAAAAAATGCTAAAATGCAAAAAAAAAAAGGAAAACTTTTTATCCTTTTAAGGGATAAAAATGATAAATTGTTTAAGACTTACAAAAAAAATCCTTTTTAGGGAAAAAAAATGCAAAAATGTTTGAGACTTACCGATTAATACTGTCAAAAATTTAACATTTTTATGAGATTATTTTGTAGCACCAACATTTAATTCAGTGTTTTTACATGTAGGTATCACTTCTCCTTAATCTTTAAATCTCCCATCTACTTAGTCTTTGCAAGTTAGTGACGCTTATGTCGTGATGTCTCAATTTGGTAGCAGTTCTCCCTTTCTAATGGAAACAAGGGAAAGCGACTTGTCTGACACGCATAAAAAGGGGTTTGCTAAACTGGCCCTCTTTATCTCTCTCTCCATTTCTTCCCGCTCCTCTATTATCTTAACATTGGCCACAGATGGACAACAAAGGCTGGAATGGACAAAGGGCTGATTTTCCTGAAACAACGACCAACAGTAAGTGTTTTTCTCTCCATCTGTGTTCCCCAGTGTAGGTGATGCCGGGCCGTTTAATCTATCTGACTGATTAATAAGGAACCGAGTCGGCTCAATCCCAAACTCGCTTCTATGGAGAGCCTGTGAATTCCTCCTATTCACGCAGACTTATGTGCTTTCCCAGGGGGTCTGTGAGACCACAGTATTACACACTCGCTCACACATTAACCACCCAAACACTTTTCCAGGGTACAACCGTGGTCTTCCAGACGGGTTTGCAGCCACACAAACATATCCATTTTCATGCCATGCTCGGCTAAGGGTTCTGCGGATCTCTTAGGACTGAAGTTCTGAGAAATAAGGTCTCAATTAGGTCCTCAAATGATCCCATTGTGTCAAAGAACTTTTAATGGGTACTCTCTTTAGCGCCTGTTTACAACTCCTACAAAATTACATTATGATGCAAATCATTGAACTATGTTATAATGACCATTAATGTCTGTTTTAGTTAGGTTATGTACTAGCATAGCATACAGATACCCAATTAGCCTAATAGCTTATACACTATGCATGCACTTACCTTAAATGTAATAACAACCATTTTTAATGTAATTATGTAAAGGTTAAAAGTTCAGATATTTCAGTTATTAACAGAAAAATGTAATAAATTAAAATGTAAATTAAAATTATTTTATAGATTTATGTATTCGAGGAATAGTGCACCCAGAAACGAAAATTTGCCAAAAATGTACTCACCATCAGGCCATCCAAGATGTAGTTGAGTTTGTTCATCAGAACCGATCTGGAGAAATGTAGCATTACATCACTTGCTCACCAGTGGGTCCTCTGCTGTAAATGGGTGCCGTCAGAATGAGACTAATCAAAATAATCCACAAATAAAAAGCTGTTTTTGTAGGAAACAAATCCATCACTAATCCATTATAACACTTCCTCCAGTGAAAAAGTCTATCCCCTGTTGTCCTCTCATATCACTTATATGCACTATATAATAAGCAAATACTGTTCTTTTTAGCAGCATCATATGACCCCTTTAAAATCACAATCATTTTTTACAGTGTATACATATTTTAAATTGATGTTGTTAGTGTGTGCTTGTTATAACTATTAACTGAAAATTGACGGAGACCTGATTTCAAGGAAGGACAATTTCTCACAACGTCGGCCCATGATTCCCAGCTCTGACTTTGAGAGATGGGAAATGGCTGAGAACTGGCTATTTTCCTGCACAGCCTTCCTGCAAACAAACATAGCACATCGCTGTCTTTGTTTATGAGCTTTGAAAATATATTTTAACATCCAAAGTAATTCATATCACTGTCTTATGCAATCACAAGCTGCTTTGATGTGGTTAGAAGTTGTGTAATGAATAAAAATCATAGCAGTCAATTCACACATGAGATTTGTAAATAAAATCATTTTAGACAGATGGAGAAAACAAACAGAATTAAGACATACTCAGAGTGTCTGTCATTTGAGCATCTCTGTAAACAGCTTTGTGATTATAATGGCAGTGATCTAGTTTTGTTTTGCGTCAGTCTTGCCAGACTGAGTTGTTGTTGTTGTGAACTTGCAGACATTATATTACACCCCTGGCCTCTGGCATTATAGGGTCCTGATTCAATTTTTTTCATTTTTTTTTTGCTGCTATGGAAATGTGCAGATACATGGCACTTGAGTTGAGGATTATATGAAATCGCATGATAACAAACAATTTAAATCATTGTCAAATGCTAAATCAGACATGCAGGTTGCAGGAACGGTAATGCAGAGTGAACCAGTATCCTTGTGCATACAACTTCCTTCAGTGAGTTTTCAATGACCGCATTGCGTAATTAAGCAGTTTTGTTGCTTACTTGATTTGAAGCATGGCATTTGACAACTGTTTTGGATGAATCTATTAAAACAAAAGCTTTTCTAAATCATCTCTAAATCAGGTCACTCTTGGTCTAATGTTGGAGCATATTTGAACTATCTATGTAGTGACATTCCTGGAACATGCACACGCGCTGACGAAAGCTCTTGGCTGATGGAAAAACCATTATTATAGTGCTTGTGGCAAGCAGTTCATTTTCTTCCCCACCATTCTACAGCTAATTCAGCCTGAACCGCTTGACGTACTGTACATTCAGACTTTTTGAAAAATAATTTCTGCCTTATATGTGCTCTCTGTTGTCTGTCTTTATAGGCTTTAAACTTTTGTAAAATTGTGCTTTTGTAAAATTACAAGCTTCACATTTTTGCTTTTAAATCCTTCAAAATTTGGCCTCTTTGACTAACCTTGATTTTTGTAAAGAAAATGAGGGAGCGTTCTAAATATATATATATTAGAATAGTTGACCCAGAAATGAAAATTTGCTGAAAATGTACTCACCCGGAAGTTGTTCCAAACCAGTTTCTTTCGTCTGTTGAACATTAAAGAAGACATTTTGAAGAATGTGAGTAACGAAGCAGTTTCTGGTCTCCATTGACTTCCATAGTATAAAAAAAGTCAATGGAAACCAAAAACTTCTTCAAAATATCTTTTTTAATATTCAACAGAAGAAAGAAATTCATACAGGTTCGAAACAACTTGGTTGAGAAAGTGATGAGAGAATTTTCATTTTTGAGTGAACTATCCCTTTACCTTGAATCCAGAATATTCCTTTCAGCTTCTGTTTCAGTGCTGAATTGATTTTTACGCACGACAGAAATGCTGCATCTGAAGCGGAATTTATACAGAATTTATACTATTTGGACTCACTTTTCAATACTGCACTGATGCAGCTTAAATTTGCTGTTAAAACACAATTATCCATCTCTCTCTTCATCTGTTTTTTTCTTTTGGACTTTGCTCTGTTTTGGAGAGGATCCATTCTCTAGTTCAGCTGTATTGCACTGGTGTTGTTAGACTCCGTCTATCTCCTAATTGACTTCACAGACTTTCTCAACAATGTCAGAATAATGCTGGTTAATTTACGGTTCCTGAGATCTGCCAGGGAGAGAATCAACGGCTCTAAGGGGTGTAAAACTCAATTCAGAGCAGATGTACATGTCAGTGACCTGCAAACTCAGTTTTTCCTTTCCACCCTTGTGAACACAGGACCAGGCTCTCTAAAGCAGATTTATGATACCTTGTCCATCGCTGCAGTGTACAGATTTATCTCAACTGCATTTTGATTATGCAAGAGCAATGATTTTGATCCTTAGCTCTGCATTCTTGGGTGTTTCTTCAACTATGCACATTTTTTGGCCCTGTGGACTCTGAAATACTCTCACTAGTTGTCCAGCAGTGTATATACAGTACATGCATCACAGGAGAATTCTAATTTTTTTTTTATTGTTTACACCAGTGTCATTTTCACCACCACCTCAAATTATGTCTTTAATCGCGTTTTATAATGGAAGTGATGGTGATGGAAATTACATTTTAAACATTTTTGAAATAAGATGGCCAGCTAATTTCTTAGCTAGCATTTTATGTGTCTTAAATAAAAAAATATATAATATTTACACACTTTTGGCATCGTTTGACAAAGTTACACCTTGGAAATGATGCACAATAATAATACTCTGGTTACTAATGATATTTACCGTGTTTTTACATTAATTTCTTCATATTTCATCTCAAACTCTTGATCACTGTTACTGTTTTCTCTGTTAAACAAGTACACAAACTTTTGAACTTAATTACGACTTGCTGGTTTTGTTTTGATAGAAATAATGCCGCATAGATGCAGGGCTCGCAAAATCGCTAGCCCGACGTCCCGGGGCTATTGTGTTTTCCAGTCGGGCTACCAAAATGTTATCACCATTCTGCCCCACGGGCTATCTTAAATACAGATCTCCCACGGGTCCTTAAAAACTCATAAAGTGAGTTGTATCAAACTTAAGGCCATAAAAAGTTTTAAATATGTTAAATGGTATAAGAAATGTCTTAATTATAATTTCAAGAGGTCTTACAGTTGGGGACGGAAAGACAAGAGTC